GAAAACGCGCAATCACTGGATATGTATGCACACATACATCGATGGACACCTTTGCCCTATCTCAGTGAAGAATCATTCTAAACAGAACATATCACTTACTCGACCCTTGCCAACTTGTCACAGTGTTACACTTTCCTATCCATCACATGTCGGTTGCAGGAACAGGGGGCATCTGGGACCTGACCAACACAGCCACACTTAATGAAATCGAACTCATCAGGTGGTGGATGACATGAATATACTGTCAATCCAATCCTCTAGTGTGTTTTAGATCACAGGTTGATTGTCTGCCTGGTGTGATTCATGTGAGCAGCGGAAATCGCCGCAAAGCGACTTAATAGCGCAACTATCAGTTGCCATGGTGACCACGGTTTGACTCCGTCGCGCACTTCTATAAATGTATTGGAATTTCCGTTTAATGAATTAATATGATTGACTTTATTGCTGTCGCTTTAATCTTCCAAGTAGGGACACTCAGTCAGCTGAGTAGGCACCGTGTGTGATGGACTGGGTCGCTTGGGTTATCCGCACAGCGCGTCTAATACAGATTGGTGAGATGTAGTACGTGCTTTCAAAATACAGATTTCTAATACATATTGGTAAGATGTAGTACGTTCTTTCAAAATGGTCAAATAGGCTTGCCGGCTTTTCGGTGTATCAGTAATCGTACGTATTATGTGCGCATGAACTATCGATGTCTGGTACCAATGTATCACATACATTGCTTTTATTATTTGTATTTCTTTCCAAAAAAAAAGACAGTTTACTGGGTAATTGATACTTGTATCGTCTATTAAAAAACATTACGTAATCTTTTGCATTGCGTTTTCCCAGATAGCAATCTCATAATCTGTTACCTTCATGATAACGGACATTTAAAATATCGAATGGATTGCGGCAATTCCCGAAGGAATCTGATCGTGGACAGATCACGTGATTATTTGCGCTCATGAGATTATATAATGTCGAACCGGTTATTTCTTGAAATATAATTTAAAACAACTATTAACGCATAACTAACATCGACAGTAGGTGTTTCGATGTAATAGTTGCTGGTGATAAAATATTTCGAAATTAACACATGATAGTTTAATTACTCAGCTGACTCTATTATGCTTACTCAAATAATTCCATGGTCTCCTTGTTTCCATGGTTTCTCGGTTGATTCTCTCGTTACTCAGTTATATATATGGTTATCCAATTGACTCCATGGTTACTCGGCTGACACCATGGTTACTCAACTGACTGCATGGTCACTCAACTGACTCCATGGTTACTCAGCTGACTCAGTTGTTACTTAGCTGACTCCATGGTTACTGACTGGTAATTGACTACAAAGTTATTCTCTGACTCTATTGTTACTCAGTTTAACTTGTGTTTACCTAGTTTACTCCAGCATGGCCACTCAGCTGACTCCATGGTTTGTTCCATGGTAATCAGTGACATACGTCCCCCACCTGTGAGGGCGCTTTGCTTGGAAAATGAAATGCACTCTTTTCGTATTTATTTTGCCCCACCTTTCAATTCAGATACACTGTTGAACCCTGCCTATAGAAAACTGGGATTCCAATTATGACAAGACCATAAAATGTTAAACGAGGTACAATTTCATCATGCATCAACCAGTTTTACAGGACGAGCCCTCCTAACCCAAAAACATAGTAACACGAATAGTGTAGAATCCACTCTTTAAACGTGTCTGCGATTTGATATTTCGAGAGACCTCAAATAAAGACTCTTTGAATTACCACATCGGCCAGAATGATCTTAAACCGTTTTTACATTAAAAGCGTGTAACAATATTAGTGTTATTCCTTAACAAACCATTGGCTTTGTAGTTAGTGCGTCTGTATATGTGTATCGGTGTGTGTGTCAAGAACCATACGTTGGTTTTTTTATGAAACTTGATGCATAGATGCTCTGGGATAATAGGCAGATTTGATTGTAGGTTTTGGTTTAAACCGTGCATATTAATTACCTAATTTGCATAATGATTTGTCAATTTTCAGCTTTTCTAATGATATCTCAAGTACTAATCATCACTTTTCAATGAAACTTGGTACATAGATATCATAGAACAGTGCACAGACCTGGGTTAATATCCATGCATATTAGTTACCTAATTTACATAATTAGTATTTTTTTAAACTTTTTTTTGTACTGATATTTCAAGTACTAATCATTACATTTCAATGACACTTGGTACATAGATGCCCTATGCTTTCAGTTTATATACATTCATAATAATTACCAAATTTGCATAATAATTACCCAAATTTAAGCATTTTCACTTGTTTCTCATGTACTATTCAATAGATTTCAATGCAACTTGGTACACAAATAGATATCCTGAGATATTTCGCAGACCTGATTAGTTTTTGGTTGAAATGTTGTGCGTGTTAATGACCTAATCTACATATTAATTAGCCAATATTAAGCATTTTTACTTGTTTCTCAAATACCTTTCAACAGGTACTAATGAAACATGGTACAAGTTTTTTGGGATAATGCACTTCCCTGATTATTTTTAGTTGAGATCAATGTGATATGACTAATGTTTCAGATGACTATATATGGTCATGTGACCTCAATCATATGCATAACTGTAATACCTTAAGTACTGTTGCAGAGAGGGACATGTATAGTGTTATAGTTTTGTTGTCAGACAAGATATATGACCAAAATATCAAGTCATTAAAGATGGTCATTATTTCAATGATTATAATTGTTAAACCACAGCCATTCTGATCATTACTTGCATTTATATTTTTAATGTTGTATTTACTCTATTAGAAGCACGTATGTTGACTGTAAATATATAGTAAATACAGTATTCCTTATTATTACTTCCTACTTTACGGGAGTTTTTACTAAGCTTTCTTTGATATTAATTGTATTTTTTAGACTATTCCCAAATGAACGGGAACATAGGTATTTCGTGTAGACGATAACGTTTTTTTTTTTTTTAGTGATTTTAATTAATGTCGAACTCAAAATAATGCCGGTACTAAAAGGCAGTCTAAACGTCTCCTTTTATTTTTTATTCGTAACTAGTAAGTAAGAACAGTGTCATGAATCGAAAAACCTTAGAAATTAATCTCCGCTTGAAGTCACTGTCGAAATGTTTCAATAACTTGCCAAACACGTTTATTTACCCTCTCTCGATTTCCGGATGATACCGTTTCGTAAATAATTCATTGTAATGTGTATTGATTTCGGGGAAAAATAAACTAGTCACGTCCGTCTCACAGCCACACAGCATGGATTGGTTTATTTGTACGTCGTTCTGTTTAATCACTTCTTGACAGTAAGAAGCGATGTTCGTATATCGAAAACTGTGATGTTATTTGCCTCTGATACAAGCTATGAAAACCGTTGACGATGGCCAGAATAAATGAATAAATAAATAAATAAATAAATAATTATTTAATCTAACGTCTATGTATTTTTACCGAAACAACACATTCAATTCAAAGACCTGTAAGTAATACCATGTACCATATCCAATTAATTATTGAAGCATGCACAAACAATCTTGAAATTACCCACATTGCCTTTTTAATCGCTCCAGTAATATAAAACATTCCATTCCAATTGACTTCTTATAATCGGGCAACAAATCATTCAATTGTCACATCCGTCGGTCAATTGCACAAACCATAGGGAGCGATATCAGAACAGGCTGTGCAAAATATGTTGTTTTTTTCTTTACCTGTTTTTGTGCTAATTTGTTAGTTTCACCATAGACCCTCCAGGAGGGTCTATTGTTTCACGATGAATTTGCGTGCTGGTTTTTTTTTTATGATTTTTTCCTTGCATTTTTTTCTCAATTCTGCCACCCCGGGTTTCTAATAGTCTGACCCGGTTGGTCGTGGCAGCTGACTCGTTGATATAATCGAGCTGTTATCGGTCGAATCACTAGGGGGCGTGCTTCATTTAATCGTAATCAGTTATATTAAAATTAAATGAACGTAGCAATCGAAAGTGATAACTCATTCGGGTGGTTAGTGAGACGGGGCGAGAAGATATACGAATCGTGTTTAAATGTAAAGTCTATGACTAGGTGATTGAACCTTCAAATGTTGTCTATATATGATTGTAACGTAAAAGACCGCATATAGGCAACGGTTCACCCATGGTGCATAGGATAACTTGTAAACGAAGAAAATAAGGTTTCTTTTTAGTTGATGATGTCATCATTTTTTGTGTTCCAATACTGTTGATGATGTAATTCATTTGTGTATCACGGGAGTGAATTGTGTAATTATGAAGTACATCGTACAATGGCAATGACACACGGCTTATGCGTTGATAACGAGGTTGTCTTGACTATGGTATCACTATTCGTGTATATTTTAAATGTCGAAGTAGTAGTAGTAGTTTACTGGTAACATAGACAATTTGATGAATGCAATGCCCGCGACAGTCGTCAATGGCAGTCAATTGCCCCGGTTGGAATGTAATACGTCCAATCACTGCCACAAGAACAAAAGGTTCGATACCATCAAGCGCACACGCCGAGAGACGCCCTCCCCCATTCTTGTCTATAAACAGGTCCAATTGTAAGTTGTAGGTAAACATGGCAATAACACACTCACACATATGAGCTGGCAAACTTTCAAAACTTACTATTTTTTCCCTAATCTTCTTGTGAAAGACGTTGTGATTGGACGTTGAGAGATGCCTAGCATTACACCAACCAATCATTTAACTTGTACATGAATGCAATTTGTGATAATTTGATGCTGATATTACCTGCACGTAATTAATTGACCTGTACATAACATGACGTCACAGTCATATTGTCGTGTCTTAGACAACGATTTTCATTCCGGAAGTGGAAATTACAGATCCATGCATCCGACGAATCACATTAGATTATAGATGGCATCTGCTAAGAGTAACGGACATTTGATTAGCGCCTTGTCCCTGAAATGAAATTGTATGATCGACTAGTCCCAGTCATTGACGCCTAATTCGTTTCCTCAATAACAGGTAATATGACACTGTCTAATAACAAATTGCGAGTTTCAGGTAAGAGCGTAATTTTTATACATGTATCATCAACAATCACAAACAAGGTATAAACCATGGATGGGTGTATAAATAATGTATGGGCACCCGGCGCTGACAACAAGTTGATTAGGTTGGGGAAAAAATGCCGAGATTTCTTTCGACGCGCGCTTTAAATTTCCGCAACTATGATTGATACAACACCGTGTGCAAAGTAAGCAATTTTCCGACATGTTATACGTATCACAGTATATAATCAACTCTTTTTGAATCGCTTGATTAAAATCAGATCCCAAGACGCTCTGCGATGATATTTACACGTACTGGTTCGCCTGACGTAATCTCCGGAGTGATGTGTTAATTTGTAGTATAGCAATAACGGTGATTACTATCCCACAACTCATTGTTTATTATTGAATGCGGGTGTGCACTTCGATTTGTTACCGAAGTCGCTGATCCGTACATGTGCAACCATCATGAGACATTGAATGGAAATTGGTTACGTTTGCATTGCAGTGAAAACTGCCGAGATAGCTATGGGTGTTGTAAAGTCAGAGCAACTGTGTTGTTTCAAAATATTGTCGATTACTTCCAGATTTTTGTCTATTTCTAGATGTAGTACTCTTACATTATTTCTTCGTGCAAATATGTCAGGACTGTAGCAAAATCTGCAAAAGTACAAAAATCGGGAAAATTAGTTTTTCTTGGTGAAAACATTTGTTGTTGTTTTTGACATGCTCTTGATATACCCATAGGTCATATTGCTATAGTGTGAATGATGTATATTCAGATAATGTGTATATTAAATAAACGTTACATACAAAATAATTTCTACTTCATGAACGTGTTTCATGAACGTGTTATATCAGCCTGAGCAAACAACAGTTAAGCCATCTCTCATCCACAGAATACAAGATATCTGCAGTACATGTTTATGTGTTTACTTGTATTTGCAATTGCCAGAAATAGACTATGTATCTGGAGTCTACGTCTAAACTTCCTCATTATTATACAAAAAAACTGATTTTTCCCATGAAATTCAAAATTAAATCTTCAAAATAAATAAATGCTGTATAGATGAATTGAGGTAATAATAAAAATGTTATAGCCCTAATTTTCTTAGTTTTTACACGTATTTGTTCACAAAAATTCCATCACTAAGGTGTTTATTCAAGATCCCCGTGACAATGTATGATTTTCCGTTGCACCAATGAGGCACAAGTGAATCTGCAAAACTAGTTGCGCCACGTCAAATCTTTGTGCGTCAATGATGCGTCATAAGGGCATAGAGGGCACACCAGCTACACATGTTTGTAGACATAAATCGCGTTACAACTCTAACCAAATTGTTACAAATTCAGTGGATGTATACAGGTTGCCGTGTTGTAATTCAAACCATCGGTGTCATTTCGCTAGAAAAGCATTAAACCCATCTTAGGGGTGTCAACCTGGCAGCATGTCCATCCAATCGGTCAATAACAATGACACAGAACATTGTAGAGGTTATCCCTTCTGAGCAACCACAGTCAGACCAACTACTCAATATGCATTTTCAGAAGTGTTTAGAACACGACTCGTCCATTGCCGCTCATCCGATAACTTGAATACAAAATTGTCGAGAATGTCTTCACTGAAGTGGAGATTGGGTTGAATGATGATCCACTCTCCTAGATGATAGTGTAGACACTGTAGTCTATGTTACAGACATAAAAGCGACAAGGGGTCATGATTAATGTACATTACACATTCAAGAGCATACAGTAAAACTGATTAAATAGGTACGAGGTTTAGTAGCATGCATTACAAAATCACTGTGTGCACTCTAAATAAGAAGTCAAATGTACTAAAAGGAAAATGCGGAGATTAGTAATGTACTGATTAAACAGTGTGGAAGATTGTCAGTGTTTTACCCTTTGATTCAGATTTGCATGAGATTGGCCATCATGGACCAGCAGTCGGTCTTATCTTCTTCTATTGTATGTAACTTTCGCTGAGTAAAGTCCACTTCCTCATATCATCTGACTAGTTGAATCGCGGACATCACGTCTTTTGTCAGTTTAGTTTTTCTTCCTTTGATATATCTTTCTGTATCACACTCTAAAATTCTTCTTCGATAGCCTTCCGCAAAGCCCAGCTGTATTCTCATCGAGCATCTCTTATCAAATACTTCTATTTTCTTGACCACGCCTTTATAACTCTAAAGGGTACATCAACGTCTTTCAACTATCACTTACTACGTGGCTCATGTCTGCTTCTAAGAAGGCCTTAATTGTCCGTGTCCTTGTGAGATAAACTACACTATCAGCCACAAATGATGATGACGTCTACATGCTATAATCCATTATGGTGCATTAGTGACCCTTTATCCCCCACGATCGTCTTTCACTGTTTGCACCTAATTCACAGGCAATTACAGGGCCATCATAAAGTAGTTTGCGTCACAGCTATGTACAGCCGTCCCAATACAATTGTCAATTATATACTTGTTAACATTACATTAATTGGAAATGTCTGATTATGCTTAAACAAAGTCTTCTGCAACTGGAGAACCTTCCTATGCATGATAAGTATGTAGGGTAGGGACACTGCATAATAGTATAAGGAATTACTTTCTGTATATCTCATTCATTTGATGATTTGCCTGGCTTGACAGAGCTGTCCATGCTATTCGAGAGCTTTCAGGATGGAACTGCATATGCATGTTATTATATTAAATTGGGTTTGCGTGCCAGCTCAATTCATCACAGTTATCAATGGTATTACATGTCCGTTTGTTCGATCTATTCGATTGAATCAATTTATTCCTTTAATGACAATTATTCGGTTACATATATTCGAACTAACAATGCAATTGTTGTTTCTTTGTTGCAGAGGTTCTACCACCACATAACATTACCATTTCAAACATCTTGGACAGCTCAGCGCTCATATCATGGGATGTTCATGCGAACAACGATGATGTCAAAGCATTCGGGCTTTTACACAGCAAAATAGGTGGGAATTCAAAAACTATAACAGACTTAGACAAGGGTTTCTTGTCATACGCACTGTTGGATCTCCACCCTTCTACGGAGTATTTAGTCTACATGTGGGCTGTGAGTGAAGATGGAGAGAGTGTCCCTAGTGAGACGAGACAATTTACAACAGAAAGTACATGTAAGTTTCTACTCTTTCAAAACATATGTTAGAATCTCTTCTTACTGTCATTTTATGGATGTTGGAACCATTGTGTGCAATTTGCTTGGTGTGCGTGCTTAAGACGACTTATCGTGATATTCGGCTTAGAGTTCTGAGTCACTAGTATCTTCTTTATTTCATATTTATTCATTGACTGCAAATGAGCCTGCATTTTCAACCCCGTCTCGTATACACCATTCGTATTGTGTGCCATTGTAATTTCCTTTGACTTCTCACTCACTTATATACAGTTCTTTCTATTAGCTACGTCACTGGAATGCCCAGTCTGCGGAAGATGTGTGCATACAGGTGTCTCGCTTAGTGGAAGCGATCAATATCACTGACTGACTGTACACTGTACACTGACTCTTTCCTCACCGCACAACCTTTATTTTTTTGCAGCCGAGGACGATTACTCTTATGCTGCAGATTATAACAGGGGACCGCCATTCGAAAACAGATCCATGACAACTGAAGAAGTTATAATTCTTCTAGGCGTCATGTCCATGTGGTTGGTTACTATTGCAATCTCCGTACGCTCTGTTCGGGCCAAAATGACGCCAGCCACCGCCTTTATCGACAAAAACATTGGCTACAAGCCTAACTGACCAAACGAAGGTGCTTCTTCAGATTCCAGTTTGAGGTGAAGAATATTCAAATACTCATTCCCAGCAGAGTGGCACTGTGTATTAACAGTCCCTTCTTAGTGTTTATTGTTTGACTAACACATCTTACTAAATCATTCCTGTCCCCTTCCTTTTTGGTTGTCTTTAACAAATTCGCAACACACTCAACCTGGCACTCATAGCGTTACGGAGAATTGCATCTTGTTAATAGCTCGAACACCCCATGACAACGACCCTGTGATTCCATATCACTCTGCATGCCTTGTTTGGTTGCGGTTATTACAGTTATAAACTAATATCACTGATCTCTACTACAGTTAGAGCTGATTGTAGCTATTCCTTGCTCTCGGTGGTACCAGGATTCACAACAATGATGTTTATTATAACCAGTAACACGCATGCGTAGCTATATGTTCATGACTGGATTGAATCCTAGATTAGTTTGGCGTTTGCAGAGTGTCTTGCATGATAAACTGTGTTGCTGTCTTCCTCGTTCCTATGTTTTGTATTACTACCATGGGGTGTTCAAGACGTAACAGAAGCCCATACTAACATGCATCTTCATGTTTAACCACTCTTATTGTCATTAACCCAAATTAGTCCAGTTCTCTCCAACGCATGATGCTCGTTTTCCTTCATCCCTCAAACATGTCACTGCAATAAAGCATCCTCTAGCGCTTCTGTGACGTAAATGAGTGGAACGATGACCGTTCACGGCGTTGGTATCGTTATGATTGCTCGTAATCAAAACAACAAAATAATGATTTTGGGAGATTTATATTTTTCTAAATGACGAACACTACACAGTCAGGCACAGTTGTTGCTTTGTATAGCATCGCTTTGAACATGTCACGCCACTGAACTCGGTGACTGGAGCGCTAAGTCGTTAAAGGAACATTCATCCTCGTTTTCATGTCAGGCACTTCTATCGAACTCTCGTGATCATGAATGTAATAATGCATAAGTTGCGTGTAATTTATTCTCGGGCGACATCGATTAGATCCCAAGTGCATAACTATATTACATCTCTACCCTTGATTTCCCTACTGAATAAAAGTCTCGATCCGCAAGCGAAATATAAATGTCGTTTTCACGTCTCGTTTTCACAATGGACAACCTGGAACGGAAACTCTCTCGCTGGGCAAAGCACCGAACTAGTCTTATAATATTTATTATTGGTTTCAAGTTCATCGTAATTACTAAAATGATCTGAGCAAATCTGCCGATCGTAATTGAGAAAAAATACAATCCCAATAAATACTAAAACTGAAGGTCACTAAATGCGGAAATACCCTAAGGGATATGTTAACTCCGTTCATGAACTCCCGCGGGATATCGCTCAAGTATAACTGTAATCTTATTTCTTACACGCGCGATGTATTTTATTACTAGAAATAATAAAACATTGGATTGAAACATTACTCATCAAGATGATGAGCACTTTTGAACGCATATAAAGCAATGTCAAACAGCATTTTAAACTGTGGTCAAGCATTGGTACATACTAGCAAGATGTGTCACAAATAAATGTTTTGGAAACATGCGTTGAATAATTAAATAGCATTTGTCAATGAAGTTACTAGTTTATGTAATTTGGAAAAACAAATGAGTAAACAAAAATATATATTTATAACTACTGTAGCATTGGTTCATTGTAGCATATTTTTATTTTAATTCGCAAAGATTCCCGAAAATCACGGAGTTGCGGTTGTTATCGTCTGCACACGTCGTCCCCGTTTGATTTCGGTTTGCTACTTGACGTTGGTAACTTGTCATAATTATCCGCCATTGTTGTCCTCGTTCGCAGTTGATTGTTATAAAACAATTAAGATATTAATTCAGAGATTATTCATTTTGATCTATTATTATTATTGAATGTTTGCAGGTAAATGTTCGACTTTGTAGTAGCGTGAATTCCAAGAAATGTACTGACGCTTTGTAAAAATTTCGGTGAATATGTATCGTTAACGATGCGCGTCGTCGAGCACGAATTTCGAACGAGTCTGCAGCCTTACTAACGTAACCCATGGAAGGTACTCCATGCGTAACCTAACAAAATACCGTGCCCACATGAATCTCAACTGGTATTGAGTCGACGCGGCCTTTAGTTTAGTTGTTACTGACACCTTGTTATACACTTGTCAAGAAAGTCTCGCCAATAAATTTGCATGTAGGGGGAGTATGATGGAGTATTCATTGTGAGGCACCTCGGTAAAGTATGGCCAATTTATTCTGACTGGTGGCCCTTATCTACTGAGGTCAGAATGAATATTCAAACATTGGTGAACAGCAAAGCGTTCAGGATACATGTTGAATACCAATTCTTTGATTGAGTAGTTTCATACAGTGTAAATAGAGCGAGCTCACTCGTTTTGATTAAGTATACAGTCTGTGTGTCTGTCGTTGTGGTTGTCAGTTCTAACAGAAACTACATCTCACAAGACGTGAGTGATGTCTTGAGATGATAACGACATGGCCCGGGGTGATTAGCCTTTTCGCGTTGCATTGTTTTATTGAGTTTAAGAGCGACGGTTATCACTTCGTGCATATGTAGAGACTCTGCTTATTAATCAACGTTACCGAAGCAGTCGGAAAATCTGTCGGCACAACAAGCTGTTTGCTTGGAATATTGCGAGTGAGGGGGAAGGATGATCAGAATACGAGCACATAGGAGTGATAATTTATTTCCTATATAGGAAGGGATTTCTAACAGTTATTTGGGGGACAACACTGAAGGGCCCTTCAAGAAGTTGGTGGGGTAGTGAACTAAAATCGCTACAGTTGTGTGCGACGGGGGCCCGGCGACAACTGTAGCACTTTAAATGACGCCGCGAGCGAGCGATCTCATTTTTCTAATAACATCACAGTGAATGGAAACCCTAATGAATTGAACACAGAAATTACATGGTAAACAATAAGACAGGAAAACATCAAACTTAGATCTTCTTGATAATCGCAATTTAACGCACCGCACCGCACGGCACCCTGATAGATATGGGTCCCATACGACTTATACATGTACAGCGCGTATAAAATACGTTGTTTACATGTATTTCGATCGCGCGTTGTGTAAATGGCTGTATGTATGTGACGTGGGCACAACACCTCTTCATATTTCGTAACCATGTACGGTCTGGACGTGCTTTAAACATGCTCATTCGATTCACTCATTATAGCATCGCGAGAGGCAATAAAGTGTGTATTTTCGGAGGAGATAAAAATGCTCAGTGATACATCCTACTCGCATTCTTGTCCCATCAATTACTGAAGGTTTACGATTATAACTTGGTACCTGTCGGAATGTAATACGTCAATTTTCTTTAATATGTCCAAATTTAACAGCAAGCGTGGCGCCGTAGTCGTCTAGCAATGTGAATTCGATACGTTTTTAAGTGAATTGCATCGTTTCTTGTGATGTCTTTTAATGATTATTATTCATAATATATTAGTTGGGGTTAGTCAATCACAGTAGGAGGAATTGCAGTCAACCCAAAATGAGAAAATGAGAAAAAAAGCTACAATTAAACATAACTGCTAAATATTCTTTATTTAATAAAGAATACAAACAAATAGAAATCAACATGTAAACGTTACCACGCATACAATCTGTGGCGTAGTGTCTGATAACTGCATTAGATAATAACTGATAATAAATACATGACTTCGTAAACTGCATACTATACACCTTTTCTATTAAACGCGCCCTCTAGTGCCCTCTAGCACTTCTATGACGTAGATGGGTATCGCGAAGGGCGTCCAACGCATCGATATCCTTTTGATCTGTAGTCGGCCATCAATAAATTTTACTTTGTTCTAGATAACAAACTAAAACACAACCAAACACAGTGGTCGATTTGAATGATATTGTATTTACCCGTATACGTCATTTTGACGTCACAAAAGAGATCCACCACTAGAGGGCGCAATTTAAAGGAATGGTGTTCTCTGATGAATATGTTTCTTACCTCTAACATATACTTGCATAGACCAAATACTAACATAACGCTTACTTCCTGTGACATGTTTTTGGTCCACTAACAAAAAAAACATATTTTACTAACGACGCGGTCATTTGACATTTCCCAAATATGCATTTCATATCTCTTCGTATTATTCTACAGATACCGGTCAGTTGAAACAAGAACGTCGCTACTTGACAGCTGAAGAGATATTCTTTCTTACTGTTGTCATGGTGATATGGATGATGGTGCTGGTGCTCTTCTTCCGGCAGTGGGGTGCAATACGGGACATGCAGCCACATGAGACGCAGTACCGGAACCCTCCGGCAAACATGAAGTCCGTCGAGGTCGTCAAAAATACCAAAGACAGCGTAATTTACCACGTCAGACATCCAAAGAGAATATCTAAACAACCGATCGTTGGTGGCGCTACGGCCTCCGCAGCGAAGCCAGATCCGGACGCAGTTAAATACGCCCTTCCGCGTCCCATTCCACGCGTTTGACTTTTCTGATCCATAAGATAATTTATTTGGTGCTATGGTTCGCTGTGCTAAATATGGAAGTTGAGTCGACGCATATATACTGGACAAAATGTGATACGCCAAAAAAACTGTCAACAAACAACCTGTTTTCTGATTGGTTGAATGGGTAGCCAATCGGGTACAATTTTGTAAGTAGCTTCGTATTGATTCG